TCTGGAAATGCTTTGCAGTTGTCACCCCACCCCTGGGAGAGGAGAGAGGGGCCCCGGGGGCCCAACAGTCAAGCTGGGAAAAGCAAGTCCCCAGGTCCTTTGTTCAAGGTCATGCAGCATAGCAGCACCAGGGCCAGGAACAGGCCTCCTGGCTCCCAATTCCGTGCCATCTCCTGAGAGCTCCTGCAGGACCTTTTTGGCTTCTGAGGCCTGAAGATCCCCCATGCCCCACAACTCATGGAGGCTTCCCCTCCCAGCTCTGCTAACGGGCAACCCAAGACCTCTGAACTCTTTTAAAGCAAGGGTTCAGAGTGGCCTCCAGCTGCCTCTCTGTGCTGACCCATTGGGAACAGATTCTGAGAATTAAGCAAGTCCCAAGACCTTCCCAAAATAATCACAGGTGGCTAAAGCCCGTTTTCTCCTCCTTCCATTAGCTGTTGCTCTCAAAACCTCAAAGTGTGGCAAGAGCACCCCAGGAGCCTACGCGAGCACTGCCAGTTCACCCCACCCCCACCCAGGACAACTCTTTTTTGCTTCCTGCCTGAGAAGCCTAGCTAGCTCACACCTCAGGCTGTCCCCTCCTTGCTCCCCACCTCCACCTTCTGGGGGGAATCAGAAAGGCCCAGACGCAGGGACGGCTCGAGCAGAGGGAACGAGCACTTGGTCCAGAGGAGAGAGAACCCTGGAGGCTGGTGGAGGAGGAGGATTCAAGAAGGAAGCCGTCACCAGTGACTATAAATACTAGTTTGGATATATACTGTATCTGGCAGCTCCAGCTTTTTACTGGAAGTGGTTTTTCCACTGAGGGTAAAATGAAATTAAATGATTATTAAATGAAAGTAAGATTTTTCCATATGAGCAAATTGGCAGTTAAGCAAGACAGGAGTGTTCCCAGCCTTAAATTTCCTCTCATCCAGTGACCTTTCCTCGCTTTGGGGGTGGAGGCAATGAGGCGAACGTGGTTCATGTTAGAGAAAGCACAGATTTAATGCTCTACGTCTCTTTTAGCTGGATACAGATTTCTTGGCCTAGACATGGTAAGTAGCCCAGCTCCTGACTCTAGCAATGACCTAAAACTCCAGCTCCTTTTCAAAGGAGGCAAAGAGGGTTAAAGATTGTTTCTCCCAAGTTACAGATTCAAGCTCCTTGTTTACAAGGCAGGTGTGTCTTTGCGATGGAAATGCACGGTGTTTACTTCAGGCTGTAGGTGTACAAATTGGGGAATAAATGGTCTAGAGGGAATGGCACCAGCCTCAGCTAAAAAAAGCCCTCTATATCTCGAGGTGATTTTGCTTCACAAAAGCTGCTGCCCAAGAGCCCCATTCAGGAGATCTGATGCAACATCCTTTTCTACTGGTTGTATAATCCGGTCCATTCAACTTTGAAAGAAAGTTAAGTCTGTAGGAAGTAAACAACCATTGGGCATGAGGAAGAGAAAACAGCCTCATCTCCCTGAAGAGGAAACAGTTCTGAAGGGACGGGAAAAAACGAGTCCTTCTCCCTCCAAGGAGGAGGCGCTGTGCTGCATGTCTCATACAGCTGTGGCTGGAGGTGCACAGAATGGGCAGAATGGGGGTGGGTTGGCATTCATAAAAAGTGTGACATGAAGAAGAGGAAGAAGAAGAAGAGGGGGAAGAAAAAAGGAAGAAAAAGAAGACAAGAGAGAAGTGTCAACATGGAGTTTAAAGAAGTTAGCCCAGACTTTTGGGAGAGGATGGGAGAAATGCCATCCTCCATAATGACAATTCTCCTTCCCAGTCACTCCTCAATACATTTTAGATATAGTTTTCTCTCCCACCTACAATGTCCTTTTTTTCTCTTCTCTATCCATCCATTTTTCACCCATTCTTGAAGGCCCAAGGCCCATTTCCCCCCGGAAGACCTCTGTAATTCCTCTGGCCTCACTGCCCTTCCTGACCATTGAATGACTGCCCTATACAGTTTAGCCTTTGAACAAAGGCTGTTAAGTCTCCAATTGCTTCATGTAGGCAACTGCAGACTTCCCAGTGAGAAGGTAAGTTCCTCGTGAGCAGGGATCATGTTACAGGCAATTCTAGAAAGACAAGATGTATAGGATAAATACTGGCTGGAATGCCTGAAACAGATGAGCAGAGCGGGAAGGGAACCCAGAGTCCAGTCCCCTCATTTTTACAGATGAGGAAACTGAGGCCCAGAGAGGTGAAATGGTATGCTCTAATTTAAACACTGGCTTGCCTAATACTCAGTCCTAGAAGAACAGAAATCGCTAATGATTCAAGGGTGAATGGAGTCCTTTATGAGTAAGCTCTCTACGCTAGTCCTCCTCAAGACTGAACATTGGCTCAAGCATAAACGTAAGAGCCACAGTGACACAAATGCATGTTATTGTGTGTGTGTGTGTGTGTGTGTGTGTGTGTGTGTGTGTGTGTGTGTGTGTAAAGTTGTGTTCCAACCCTATAACAACCGACCTAAGCTGTATGTAAAGATGAAGACATGGATACCAACGATAGGGATTGTTGCTTGAGCTATCAAATCCATGTTGCACATGTTTAATTATACCCACAAAAATACCCTGGCAAAAATAGTTTCACCTTAAAATTCTGTTTCACTGCTCTCCTCAAGAAGAAGGCAGATGCTGGAAAGAGAAGGGGAGCAGAGGATGGGGGAGCACAGAGCCTTCACCCACAACTTGCTCCCTTCCCAGGGGATGAACAATTTAGGAAGGAGGCTTGGGGCCTCTCTAGCGGCATCTAATGGGCACTCATCACACCCTGTGTACCCATTACTGAAGTCACACCACTGAAGGTTAGGATAGCTAACCAAAGCTTACGCAAATATCCCTGTGAATTTTATGAAGTTTATTCTCTGTTTAATGTTCTAGAGTTCAGAAGATATAGGCACTTTTGAGGCATCTTAGCGCAAAATCAGTATGGTTTTGAAAAACCCTGCCTAGAATGACTTGGAATGGCCAGATATTTCTAGCTCAGGGAGTGCTGGGAGCTTTCCCTCACCCCCTCCAACAGCTCTGTTTCTCTGGGACCTGCTGGCCCTGAGGGATGCCCCAGATGGTCATTCCCCAATCTCTCCCTCCTGCTTCTCCTCACCCAGTGTTCTCCCTGTGATAACAGGTTAGGAAAGACAAGCTCTCTGAGTCATTTCCACAGTGACATAAGAAGAGATTTCAAATGAAAAGGTCAAAATTCAAATGTACCATCACTCAGCGGTCAAAATTATCTAGAACTTTGTTTTCTCCTTTCCCCCTACCCCTCCAAATCACAACCAAAAGGAAAAGCAGAAAGAGCAAGAATAAAGACAATAGAGAATAGGGATTTAAGTAGGCCTCAAGGGTCTCTGAGAAGATTGGTCCTGGAGGCCAGACCCAGCTCAGATCCTTGCCAGTTTACTTCCAGGGTCAACATTTCATGTACACACGCATTGCTTTCCACAGGGACCACGAACCAATTCCTAGTGACCACACTTCCTCCAGGAGCACAGCACTTCTGGTGATGTGCCATTCCTGAGAATAGACATTTTCCTCTTTTTAACAAACTTCAGTTGCCTTAGAGGTTAAGGCAATGAAACCAAGGACAAAAAACCAAGATTCCACTCCGCTCCAGAAACTCCCAAGCAAAAACTCCCACCTGCCAATCTTACAACCATCATGGGGTTTACAAGCTGAAAGCCCCAGCACGACCACCAAACCCACAGGTGGGAAGCTCTGTACTGTGGGAATAGATACTCACTCTCATTTGGGACCATGCCGAGAACAGACCCCACATGTAAGAGAACCCACAGCCCCTCCTTGGGCCCCCAAACAAATATGAAGTTGACACACGTCTCTGGGATGAGGCTTGAATTCTCAACCCTTGGTGGGTCTATAAGGCCGCGATTTTCTGTCTCCCGCCCAACAGTGCGTTCCAGAAGTGTCATCAGATGACAGATGACACCACCCACCCGTGAGGATTCGGGGGTGGCTCGGGCCATCCATTATGGGTTCAAAGCTGTTCTGGCATGAATCAAGTCCCAGTGGTGAGGAGATCATCGATACAAGGGGTCCTACAGCTTTAAGAAATACTCTGGGCATCTCAAAGTTTTCAGAATGCAAACTATGTCAGCCTTGAAAACAAGAGGCACTGCATCATTGTGGCAGGAGAAACAAAGCCAGCCCCCTTTTTTTAACAGACAAAAAAATGATTGTTTTAATAAGGAGAGAGACATCCGTCATTGACTCTCACTTCATTCACACTTCTCTCCAACCCCATCCATCTTCAGAGCTAAGAGATGACAGAGCCCACTCATTCCTCCCCCACTATGGCCCTGGCTGCCCACCCCTAAATCACCCAGGCCTCTCGACCTGCCCGTTTCAGCCCACAATGAGCACTTCCCCAGGCCCGCCCTTTCCCCTACATCAGGCTGCCAAGCCCCAGTGATGCACATGGAGCCGCCATACATCCAGCCATGAGCGACGGGTCCCTGGCGACCTCGGCGGGACAGGTAGGGCGCGGCCCAGTCGCCTTCCTAAACCATGGCTGAGAACTGCCCAAGACCAGGGAGGTGTGAGGGGGCAGGAGGCCACACCAACGGCCCAGAATGCAAATCCCTCCACCCTCCTGGAACATTTCTCCCAGCATTATCTGCAAACAAAAGTTCTCCATGCAGGCAGTCTCTGCATCACTGCCTTCACTGTTAGCAACACCTGCTTAGTGTCAGCTTGCAGGGCTGTGGCGTTATCTTTCTGCTGTGTCTGCAGAAGCAAACTCCAGCACAATGGGGCCCAGCGCTCGGGGGTCACTCGAGTCCCTCTCCTCCCCCTCCACCCCTGCCATTCACCTCCACTACAGCAAAGGACCCCAGATAGCTAAATAAAAGGGGTGGCCTCAAACACAGGGAAAAAACCTTAGGTCTCCGGCGTGAATCGCCAACACCAATCCCCCCCTTCCCCTCCCCTTTTCCTTAAGACCTGATGGTCTTCAGTCACACATCTTAAAAGAAAAACAAAAAACAAAAACACAAAGACCTACTTGTCTAAGTCGATGAAGGCCAACTGCAGCGTGTCCTCCTGGAACCCAGGCACCGGGCCGGATCTGGCAAACTCTGTGGGAAAGAAAAGAGGATGAAAAGCGCCTTTAACTAACCATGGACAGGGAGATTGGCAGACGGATGACGGGGCAGACAAGAGAGGCTGGGGGAGAGGAGGCCCGCGCTTCTAAGGAGCCATGTCTCTCGCCCCTCAGCCTCTTTGTTGGCCCTTCAAAATTCGTGTCATCAAAACACCATTAATTCCAGCGTCCTGACAGCGAGGAAACTGTACTGCTTCGACCTGAGAGTTCTTCCCATGAGCCGCGCAGGGCTGTAGAGCGTTTGTTTGGTGAATGGACAAACAACTTGCAAAGAAGAAGGGAGGGGGAAAAGAAAAAGAAGTTTTTCCTCTCAACACAATCAAATCTTCAGCTGTGAAACTCTTTTCAGTTCCGAAAGCTATTTATATTTTAGGTCGCTCAAGGAATTTTCTAATTTCACGCCTGTCACCTCATTCCCCAAGCATTTATCAAAAAATATTCCATACCATATCATTAATTATGCCCTCACTGATTATTTGTATTATCTCACGGGTGTGTTATTGCCAGCATATGCACGTGCATACACACACACACACACACACACACACAAGTAGTAACAACCATCCCAATTCCGCACTCAATTTTTCAGCACAGGACCACTTACAGATATGAAAAGGCCTACTGGAATACCCTTCACCCCAGAAGCAAAGAGAACATTTGCACATTTAAAGCTTTCTGCACCCCAACCTCAAATTTCTACATCAGAGCCCTTCCCTGAAAGTCCCTCTACCCTTCCTTCTGCTCCAAATTGGTTTCAATTCAAAGAGAGCACGTAAAGTCAAGATGCCATTTACAGGAGCGCCTTGGGTGCATATTCAGTTTATGGCTCTGGCTTCGAAGTCGTTAACAAGAAGATAACTACACAGGGCTGTGGGGACATATACAAGTCTCAGGGAAGAATGTCAAGTTTTATTGCTCAAGTTCTCTTACATATGAAATCAAAAGGTCTTGCTTAGGCCCACAAACAGCAGCATAATCAAGGGGCAAGACGGCAACTCCATCTTCATTGCGTGCTGGGAAGCAGAGATGTAAAAGGCATTTATCATTGATTCAATATTTGTCTTGAGAAAAATTTAGGAATACTCCAATGCAAGATATGACAGGAGAAAGTTGTAGATGCAAACAAAGCTTTGGTCTACACCTGAACTTCAGAATCAGTTTGTGGGGATTTACTATCACGTGTTTTCTTTAAAATTAAATTAGCAAGACCCAATCAAGTACTGACATCTATGTTGGGGCTGGATATACTCAAATGGTCATGTACAAGCCGTTATTAAAGTCAATGGCAATAATATCTGCTCTATAAAATAAAAATGTTTTTGATCTGGGGGCTTCTTATATATACAGGGTCTTCATAAAGCCCATATACATTTCTACACTTCAATCATTTGTTTCAGGTAGAATAGGAACCATTTATAAGCAATATTTAAAAGTAAATGGGTAAAGTTACACAATTATATACAACATCCTTATTCCAGGTCCTACGATTGAAGAAAAATACCTATTACAGACAAGAAGGTAAACGACCCTCAGGGAGGCACCATTCAAATTTAGCGTCTGTAACACTACTTACAGACTAGTTCTATGATCTCTTCAAATTGTGCAAGCTTGAAAACGACACGAGGCCTTTACGAAGACCTTTCAGACACAGAGAGAACAGGTACCCATAATTCAGTGGGTTCATGATCTCATCCAGGTGAATGCTCTCTCCAAAGGGGATTTCTCATCCTGTGTTACCTTTGTTCATATATCTTCCATAAGGGTCTGTCCAATGAGTCTGCTGCTTTCCTCTTGGTCTCTAAACATGACACGGGACCCCCAAGTGACACAAAGTTTCTCCACCCATATATTAGTCTTTCCTCTTGACACAGGATTTGTCCACGTCCCTTTCTGGTCATGCCTCTCCTTGATGTCCTTGCCTCTCACTTACTTTGGAGTGAGACTGACAATGTTGCTAGGATTTAATTCCTCCAAAAGCATATCATTGGATTGGTACTGATTTTAAGCACAGACAATTAGCTTAGTTTTCTAGACTGTCTAAAACTGTGTGATTCTCAGCATACTCAACCCATCTTTTTCTTCCATGATGTCCCTATGACCACAAAAGCAGAAGGACTGGGGGACATTTTGCAATCTTCTTTGTTTTGTGGGTTGCCATGCCCAAAGCATTTATCATCTAGTTGCCAACATATTTGTGTGGATGAGCACTTCTAGGGGGAGTTAGTACAGTACTTGGAAAGCAAACAGATTCTGCTCCTGAGACTGAGCTCAAATCCTTGTCAGAAGGAATGCATATAAAATCCCCTGAGAGGCTGAAGATGATGCCATTTATAAGGATGTGCTCAGCAGCAGCTCGATGTGGATTGAATTCTTTTACCTCTCTTGCCTTGTTTCCTCTTCAGTATAAGGAGGGGGCTGGAATGGGGGACTTCTAAGGGCCCTCTGGCTCAAAATCTATGGATCTATGAAGCCATCTTCAGGCTCTCTACACTTGCAGTCTTCCATTCTGATTTTCTCCTTTGTTCCTCAAGGTATCACTGAACCACAACCTGCAGAAAATGTGACTTTAAAGTGGAATCACAGAGCTTGGAGGGGGAATCTCAAAGGTGATCCAGGTTGACTTATACCTGAGTAAGACTCATCTCTACAGTGACCCCCTCCCTCCCAGCCTGCCAAGAATGGCCATCCAGCCTTGCTGCTAAGAACTCTAATGAATGGAAGGCTTACTAACTTTTGGGGTACCCCATTCTACTATTGGACAGCTACAATTGCTAAGAATTTCCCTCTAACATGAAGCAGAAATCTGTCTCTCTACAACTTCTGCCCCATTCCTCCTAGTTATGCCATTCAGGGCTGAGCAGGATGAGTCAAATCCCTCTTCTATATGACAACTTTCAGTACTTTCCAGGCTCAGCATTGCCAGTTACTTCAAGGGATGCACACTTGGCTCCTCTGGGTGCACTTCATCCTGTCAATACTGTTCGTAAGATGAGGTTCCCAGATAATGTAAACATGGTCCGACCAGGGAAGAGAACGGTGAAACTCTAGGCCTCCCTCTAGATGCCATCCTTCTCTGGATGCATTCTAAGATCCTGTGAGCTTTCTTGGTTGTTATGGCCCATAGCTAACTCACCTCGAGCTTACAGTCCACTAAAATGACGAGGCCTTTTTGCTATGAAATGGTGTCTCATCACACCTCACCCATGATTGAGCTTGCGTTCACAATTCGCACCCAAAACCCTCTCACTACACACACACACACACACACCCCCATCACCTTATACTGTCAGTGTTTGGCTTATAGCAGATAATTATTAAGAGATGAATTCACAGCATCACAGAATCTTAGAGTTAGAAAGGCTCTGAGTTAGCATCTGTTCCAGCCTCTGCCGGATGCAGTAAAAAGTCCTAACTATGTTCATCCCCACTCAGCTCTCTCTCTACATCATGCAGCTGCCTTCTGCCATTTTCAGACAAGTCTAAGGAAACGTGTCCTTATGTTAAATCAGTGGTTTTGTTTTCTCAAACATGAGCTCCTCTTCTGGTAGCACTTCGTTGATGTCTCAATCAAATGCTGGCCAAGGGTTTTAGTGTCACATGGCAGCCTCACAATAACCATGACAGCGAAGGACTGTACCCATGCAGCAGATGAGAAAAGTGAAGCCCCCAGTCACACATCTGTTAGTCAGGTAAGACTCAAATCCAGGTCCATCATAGATGCCATGCTGCTTCCACCAGTGATTTACTAAGCCAGAGACAAAGAAGGCAGTTACAGACCAAGAGCTTGGATGTGGAGGAGGCTAACACATCCTCGTCTGAGGTGTCTGACTATACCCAAAGCTTCGGGCCCAGCTAAAAGTACAAGCTCTCATAGAGCCTTTCAAATGTCAGCCCATGTCCATTTCACATGACTGATGGCAAATGAGTTCCCTCATGAGAAGCCAGGAAGCATTTCAGCTCTGCTGGTTCTAACTCAGGAGGGCTGGGCTGCACAGCTAGACCAGGGCTGCTCCTGGTTGGTGAGATGTACCTGTGGGGTTCCTGCTGCTGGGCTGGGCAGGAGAATGAGGAAAGAGACCTAAGGACAAGCAATGTGAAACACTGAAGGGGTAAGCCACTGACGGGCCACGAATTAGAAACAGCCCGAGACAAACCAGGCTGGCCCACAGGGCTTTAACTGAAGCAAAGGCAATGAGAACCCAGGGACAGATTCCACCAAACAACAGTTATCTGACAAATGGCGTCAGCCTCCAACCTGTCCGGAAAAGGATGCCCGGCTCACGTCGGACTACCGTCAGATCCCACGAGAGTAACGCTGCCAGCAACATCAAGCGTGAGGCCCAGGAACCACAGTCTCTGGTTTAAATGTCACTGGACAAGGGCAGACCTCGACGGGGGATGGCAGGCAGAATCAGCAACCCTCATTTGTATGTTTCATATGTCATCCCACTAGAAGCCTTGGTTTATTTCCAAAAGCAAACTTGCCGAGGCTTTTGGGGATTACAAATCAGGAAATGAGATTGTTCTTTTTAAAGAACAAAGCTCTTCTCCTCCAGCTTTAATCCCTTGAATCAGGTTTCAGTTTGATTTTCTTCAAACAAGCAGAACCCTGCGATGACCTCAGCCATCAGCTCCCCAGCTAAACTTTTTCTACTCCTAGGCTAGTAGCAAGACAAGAGAAAGCCACCTGCAGTCTGTCCCCAGAGCAGACATTCAACAGCAAATAGAGGGAGTCAGAGTGTGGCTGGCTGCAAAGAGCCCTCAGCCAGGCCTTGTGGTCAGGCCAGAAAAGCAATGGCTTTGCAAGGCATACCCACCAAGGCCACCCAGGGCTGGGGAGGGGGAGCCCGACCTCTTTTCCAAATTAGATCTCCAATGAAAGCAGTGAGAAATAGGAACTCAAGTCTGTTACAGTGCTCACGGCTGAGAAAGGAGACATTAAGAATTCCAACCACAAAAGAGGAGAGGGCAAGA